TGCTCTCAGTAGGGTTTCCTGTTTTCTGTACGCGTTGTTTTGTGCCTGGTCCCGACAAAAAAAAAGGGTTTCTATCTAACTAAAAATACGAAATAGTTTTATTATTTATTATTATTATTTTGGTGTAATCATATTTACTTTTACAAATGTTATTGAGCATTGCTTGTTGGTGGTTTTTTTTTTTTTTTTTAAGAAAAAGATGGGGGAAGGCAACAAGGTTGCCACCCAATTAAAACTTATAAAACTGCTGCTTTCAGCGCGTTTTCCAAAAATTTCGGTTAATCACTGTTGCCACCATCGCAAAAGTGTTGTTCTAAAAAATGGCCAGCATAAAAATCTGGCCAGACGATAGGGTTGCCAACTAATTTAAAATCTCACAATTGTGTTTCAGAGAAAGTTTGCCAAAAAACTCGCGGCAATTTGTAGCTAGTGTTGTCTGATATACATCTTTAGTTTAGACAAATTTGGATATAGAGTTGCCAACTACATATCTATATTAGAACGTTAATTATAAATTAAAAGATCTCACCTCTCAATTATCAATATAAATATCTGGGCAAAAAGGGTTGCCAACTAATTTAATTTGTCATAAATGGGGCTAAGAAAAAGTTTGCCGATAAAACGGGGCAATTAGTAGCTAGTGCTTTCTGACATACAACTTTAGTTTAGACAAATTTGTTATAGAGGTGCCACCTACACTTCGATGTGAGCGCAATCTAAGAAAGTTCATTATAAATTAAAAGATCTCAATAAGGACATCAAAGCGAAGGTGTTGGGGTAATATTTCAGCCAGTCAGTTATTAAATGGCTGCGAATGACACCGCGCAAAGATAGTGAAAAGATTAAGCAAATCTTTACACTGAGGTCAAGCTTTTTGCGAAGCATTTCATCTCCGCCCATTATTCGCACTTTTTGATTCCCTTCAACTATTAAAAATTATTCAAATTGCCTTTTCTCTACTTCCAGCGCCGCAAGATACCAAGTGTTCGGTCCTTATAGACGATATGCAGGAGACGCGTGATATTGGCGCTGTTTGGATTTCCTCACACGATGCATGCGACGTGCACGCTTGCGAACTAGATGCTAGCGGTGTGCCGCGAGAGACTATCACGAAGGTCGATTGTGGACAGTTCTATTGCGATGTGGTAAGTGTTAAGCGTTAAGTTAATGGCCAGTGAGGGCATGAGCACTTATATTTCGTTTTCTCGTTCTCTCTCTCACTCTCCTTCTATGTAGGATTCGGAGTTACGTTCGCAACCGGGCAGCTGCTGTGGTGAATGTGTACGCACCAAGTGCCGCTTCAATGACACCGTCTACGAGCTGGGTCAGACTTGGCACAGTCCGGATGGCTGCACGATGTACGAATGCGCGCCACTGCCAGCAGCTTCCATCGTCACACCAATCGTAAATGTTTACGAAAAAACATGTGCGCCGCTACCGGCAGATTGTCCGCGAGAGCGGGTGTTTGTGAAAGATTGTTGCGTGCAGTGTCGCGGTACAGAGGCGGATATGGCGCGCAACAGCGCCGCTTCGGTTGAACTGCGCGAGGAGAATGGTGACATTTGGACCGAGGAGTTTTATCGCAATCATCCGTGTGCGCGCGAATGCCAACCAAATGCAGCGCCGATGACTTGTCATTACACTTTCGTGGTTGAATGGTATGAGACTATGTCGAAAGCTTGCTACGCGTGTCCGCAGAACGGCACTGACTGCGAGCGGCCACACTGTGTGCTCGGCGATGGCATTGAACGCAGTGTTATGGTGGTAAATCGCATGATGCCCGGCCCCTCAATGGAAGTGTGCCATGGCGACATGATTGTCGCCGACGTACGCAATCATCTGCTCGGCGATAGCACTACCATACACTGGCATGGCATGCACATGCTCGATTATCCATATATGGACGGCGTGCCACACGTCTCGCAGTGTCCGATCTCACCGCATTCCACCTTCCGTTATCGTTTTCGCGCCGACAATCCGGGCACACACTTCTGGCACTCACATACCGGCATGCAGCGTGGTGATGGCGTCTTTGGCGCGCTGATTGTGCGACGGCCGCGTGCAAACGAAGCGCATGCACACCTTTATGATTTTGATTTGTCCGAACACAAGATGATTCTGCAGGATTGGGTGCATACACCGGGCGTAAGCATTTTTGCATCGCATCATCATTCGCGTGGTGATAATAAGCCGGTGAATTTATTGGTGAATGGGCGTGGACGCTTCTACTATGCCATTTGGGATCAAGCCAAGAAAGAAGCGAGAGCTAGCGCAGCNCATACACCGGGCGTAAGCATTTTTGCATCGCATCATCATTCGCGTGGTGACAATAAGCCGGTGAATTTATTGGTGAATGGGCGTGGACGCTTCTACTATGCCATTTGGGATCAAGCCAAGAAAGAAGCGAGAGCCAAGCAGAGTAAGAGCGCCGCTGTGCCCACACCAACGCCGCAGCCAACAACAACCTCTACGTCTACTACTACGAGTCCAGAAACGTATATAGTAAACCAGCCGCAAATACATTTGCCCGACTGGAAGACTGAATTACTACATCCGGTAAACAATTCGAACGTCCACATCATGCGCTTCCGAGAGACCAATGAAGTTTTACGCTTAGCGCGCGTTGCAAAGGAAGAAACTCAGCAGCCTGCAGGCAATTATTCCGAAGGCACTGACAGCATTGCTGGGGCGACTTCTACCTCTGGCACTCATCGTTCGAAACGCGCCGTGGATGAGATTCTCTTACATCAAATGCCGCTGCAAACATATCATGTGCAGCGTGGCTTCCGTTATCGCTTCCGCATCATCAACGCCGAATTTCTGAACTGCCCCATTGCGGTGTCCATTGATAATCACACGCTCACGGCCATACATTCGGACGGCTATGACTTTGAGCCACTCGAAGTTGGCTCGATAGTCACTTATGCCGGTGAACGCTTTGACTTCGTGTTGAATGCGAATCAACCCGTCGGCAGCTACTGGATACGCTTCAAAGGGCTCATGGACTGCAGCGATCAATTCACATCCGCCTTCCAAGTGGGCATATTGCGGTACGAGAGCGCAACGGAGGATGAGCCAAGCGGTGTGCTGGGTTGGCAACACAAAGCTGAGGGCATCGAATTGAATGCGATGAATCGCGGTTCAGGATATCCCGACTCATTGACTGCGGCCGAGATGACAGCGTTGCCAATTTATGACACCATGCCAGGTGTGGATCGTGACGCACTCAAACCCGTGGCAGATTACAAATTTTTCGTCTACTATGATTTCTATGCCAAGGACCATCCCGACTTCCATCCAGCCAATTACTACAGCTTCAACGACAGCATGGGCAAGACGAATAAGGTTTACACGCCACAACTGAATCACATCTCGTTCAAGTTCCCACCAATGGCTTTGATGGCGGATCGCAATCAAGTAGACGAGTCGCTCTTCTGCAACGACACTAGCCTCGCGCAGCAGGGCATCGATTGCCGGAGTGAATTCTGCCAGTGCCATCATGTGTTGCAAGTACCGCTAAACTCTGTTGTGGAAGTTATCTTGGTAGATGAAGGTTTCACTTTCGATGCCAATCACCCCTTCCATTTGCACGGCAACTCCTTTCGTGTGGTGGGTCTAGAACGCTTAGGCAGCAATGTCACAATCGAAATGGTGAGTTCATATACCTATTTCAATGAAACAAACACGGTTAGTTAAATGCGTTTCTTTTTTTTCTACCTACAGATCAAACAGCTCGATCGCTACAATTTACTTAAACGCAACCTCGATAGACCGCCGGTCAAGGACACTGTAACCGTGCCGGACGGTGGTTACACTATCATCCGCTTCGAGGCCTATAATCCTGGTTTTTGGCTCTTCCATTGTCACATCGAGTTCCATGCTGAGATCGGCATGGCGCTGGTTTTTAAAGTTGGCGACAATGATCAAATGAAATCAGCGCCAAAGAATTTCCCAACGTGTCATGATTTTATGCCGAAGGACAGCGATGAGGACGATGCGGAGGATAACAGCGGAAACAGTACGACAGATGGTGTTACAAATGCGCCTGCCACATCAGATCCCAGCACCGGTAGTGCCGCAGCGCTGAGCGCGAGATGTTTCAGTTTACTTTTAATGCTTCTGATTCTATGTGCTTCGCGTTTGGGAATCTTCCACGCAGCACTGGCGATACACTAATTGGCAGTTTTGAAGCTTACTAAATATGTTGTTAACTAGAATATTTATTGATTTGCTCACACAAACTAACTAGAGCCTTACCACCGAGTCACTCTCTTCGAGATAAATCGAGATGTTATTCGATTAATTATTGT